CAAAAAAAGTAAAGATTATTACCAGTGGGGGGGTTATGTTGAGAGCAAAAACAAGTCTAGAACAAACCAAAAGGAAGCTCTTGAACTGACAAGAAAAAGAAACAAAACCTGCACACGGTCTTTCCTGAGTGACAAAAGCCTTGGGCCACTTAAAGGCTCCATGCCCTTGTGCCTAACTCAACACTGCCCACTTCTGGCTAGAATGTAAAGCAACCCCCACCCAGTATCTAAGCCCACTTGGACCTCTGCTGCCCTCCTGTGACTGAAAAAAATAGGTTTTATCACAAAGATATCAGGGGCTTCTTCCCCCAAACTCAACTTCTCTTAGGCTTTGCAGTATCTTCTCTCAGCAGATGAAATGTACAATCCACTAGGTGGCGGCAGAACCTAAAGAATAATATTTAGATTCCTTTCCTGAGATAATTCTCTAGATTACTATACTTCACTGATGAATTTGAAAAGCCAACAGTAATTGCACATTTGTAAATAGTAATGCTTGTCAGAGTTATATTCTGCACAGTCCTACAGCCCCCTTGTTCCATCCAGGATTAAACGCTATAAATTTTTAGAGACTTGTGGTAGAATGGCCTCCATTATAAAAACAAAGCAACACTAACAAGTTTTTAACACAAGTATTAGCCAAACAATTTCCACCAGGCTGACACACTTCCAAGCTCAAGTTTGACTCTCTGTGCCCTTTTCACTTTACCCTCTGATCCAGGGCCCAAGTCCAGGAACTTTCCTTCCCAAACCATCACCCAATGGTAGCTAAGTCTCTCTTTCCTTCATTTCCCTTTGGAACACCTAAGATAGTCTGCCATATACTATTTTAAAGAATTGCACAGAGGTATGAACAAACAAGACAGAAAATAATTACAGAAAGTATGTAAGCCCAGCCGAGAGTGGCTCAGCGACTGAGCATCGACCTATGATCCAGGAGATTGAGGTTCGATTCCCAGAAAGGGCACATGCCCAGGCTGCGGGCTCGATCCCCAGTCAGGGGCGTGCAGGAGGCAGCCGATCAACGACTCTCTCATCACTGATGTTTCTATCTCCCTCTCTCCCTCTCCCTTACTCTCTCTGAAATCAATAAAGATACATTTTTTTTTTTAAAGTATGTAAATTTTTATTTCTTTTCTTTAATCCTCATGCAAGGATATTTTTTCTATTGCTTTTTAGAGAGAATGGAAAGGACGGAGGGGGAGAGAAAAAGACACACACACATCGATTGGATGCCTCCTGCATTGGCCAGGACAAGGACTGGGGATTAAACCTGCAACCCAGGTAAGTGCCCTTGACTGGGAATCGAACCTATGACCCTCTGGCGGCCGCTCTAACCACTGAACCACACCTGCCAGGGCAGTTAAGTAAAGTTTTAAATATTCTAATCTACTCAGCTTGTGTCATGCATTCATTTAAAAAAGATTTACTGCCATCTAAGTACCAAACATTGATCATCATTTTAAATGTGCATGAATTCTCCCAACTCAGAAGCTCACTAGGAGCATTTTTCACTTTTGCATTTACATTTTTATGATAATCTAAAAAATATTTAATCTATTCTTGACCACTGGAATAGTCATCTTTATTTTTTTTATTTATTTTTTTAAATATATCTTTATTGATTTCAGAGAGAGGAAGGGAAAGGGAGAGAGAGAGAGAGAACCATCAATCATGAAAGAGTCATTGATTGGCTGCCTCCTGCATGCCCCCTACTGGGGATCGAGCCCGCAACCCGGGCATGTGCCCTGACAGTGAATCGAACGCCCAGCTGGGCAACAGTCATCTTTAAGCAGTGCTGCCAACTAAGCAGCTTTTACCACAGGGTTTCTTAAAATGCCATCTTTAGACATGTTTTCAGGAGATCACAAAATTAAAGATTGTGTTTAATAGATCTTAGGTTTACGAGTCTTGGCTGATGAAAATTGCCACGAACTTCTAGTCTTACGGCAGAGGGAAGGAAATGGGACTGGAGAGGAATTCAAAGGGAACTTCAGCTGAATCAACAATGTTTATAATTTGTTCGAAATCTATTAATTCCAGGTGGTGGATACCTGGGTGTCTGTTTTAGTCCCTGTACTTTTCTGTATTTTTTTTTTTTTAAATATATCTTTATTGATTTCAGAGAGAGGAAAGGAGAGGGAGAGAGAGAGAGATAGAAACATCAATGATGAGAGTCATTGATTGAGCCTGCAACCGGGCATGTGCCCTGACCAGGAATCGAACCCTGATCGCCTGGATCCTAGGTTGATGCTCAACCGTTGAGCCATGCCTGGCCGGGCTCTGAATTTTTTTTACTGTCATAATAAAAACAAAGAAAGGAAAGCAATGAGAGGGAGGATAGTGATAAAATAACTGTGGTAACTTTTTAAATACACTTCTTTAATTCTGCAATTGTCAAATACTTTATAGTAAACAACCTTAAGCAAAAATGGGATATAAAAATTTTTTGAGGTGAGATTGATTATCAGACTTATTAGTTACAAGATTTCCAGCAAGGCTTTCCAAACCTCTGTTTCTCATCTGTAAATAGAATTAGCAAGCCTGTCCTCATAAGGTAGTTTTGAAAATAAGACAGAACAGAAAGCACTTAAAGGCTGGCCAGAGTGAGCTCTCACTGTCTGTTAATGTTATCTTCCATACTTCCCCTGGAATAAATTTATTTAACTCAATACCATTTTCTTTTGATCTGCCTTTTTCAGAGTAGCTGCTGGTTTTAAATGTTACCCCCAAATTCATGCAAGAGCAGTACACTATAGAAGTTTATTCCTTTTATACCCAACTCTCAATGTACTTGGCAAGTATGAAGAATGTCCAGTCTGTTTTGTTCTACCTTCTGAGCTGGTATAAATATCGAGAACTCACTTGGAAAACTATTTTCAGAGTGTTGTCACATTGCACATAGAACTGAGTTAGAAGCACATAAAAAGGGCAAATGATGTACGTTAAATATTGAGAACAGGACAGTAAAGTATATGTCAAATAAAGGATCTCTATGAAAAACCCCGGGCAGTCCCCCAGGGAGAACGTACTCTCTATGAAATGATTTAACACTGCAATCTGGGATTGGAAGATTTTGCTGTACCTTGGGCCCATAATTCCCAACTGAACAGGTGGCTCTAGGTTGTTACAACAGTCTGCATTATGCAATTTCTGCTGAGCCTGCTTTTTTTGTCTCTGTTTTTGTCATAATTTTGAAATACTAAGCTCTCTGCAGCAGGGTCCTCCTCCAATCATGACAGCCCTAGGAAATAATTCTCCATGATCTGGTATCTCCCTGAGCCCAGAGAGCATCCTTGAAATGTTTGTGCTGTCCTTTTATTAAGCACACACATGACTTATCTAGAAAAAATAACTTGAGAAATCTAGAGTAAGGCAATCAGAGGACTTATGACCTTTCCAGCAAAGTTCCTATCAGGGAGCCCAAGAGTTACTCATGATGATTGCAGGCATAAGGTCAAGGCTGATGGGTCAACTTTTAGCTGTACTCAAAGAGTCCTCATTGGTCAGATACCTTGTCTACTGCCTCTGCACAGTGAGTGGCTCCTTTCTCTGGACTCCCACAGTACTCTGTTCACATTTTTAGTGTGGCTTGAACTATACTGTATTTAACTGCTGTGTTTGCCTATAAGGTAAGAGCCATATTTTACTTTCTTTTATTTCCAGTAATAAGGCATTGACTGGCACATAGAAAAAGGGGAAGGGGGAAGGACAACTCAAGTCCTGATCAAGTCTCCAAAGAGTTAAACTGTATTAGAATAGAAAGAAGTGATTCTAAAACTTCTTCACTGAAATAACCTCTGCGACCTTACCACTATCAAAAATGAAACCTTACCTGAACTAACAGAACTGTTTTTGAGGCAATATCAATAATGAAAAGGATCTATGTAATGTAAATAACTAATTAATTCATGCCAAAAACTGAAGTATAGTCATTGTCGCATTATTGCATTCACTTAGTACATGGTTGCTCTAACTCTTGTGTTGGATTTCTGATTGGTACAAAAATGATAGCTTTTTAAGTAGTGACAGAAAAAAGTTGGTCCTGGGATATTCTTTTCCCAAACAGGATAACATTTCCTAAGGTTCTCTTTTCTGTTACCACCCAGTAAACACTACAACACTAAATTTTGTAGTGAAAAGGCAAAGAAGAGAGTACATTCCTTCATCAATAAGCTACGTGGGGTACTGGAAGAACATGAGACCAACAGCACCACTGGACTAAGGCAACCACTTAGCTATGTGGCTAGGGAATGCCACTGGATTATTCAGGATCTCTGTTTTCTTATATATAAAGTGTGTGGGAAGCAACCATGTACATCCAAGCAGAGCTTTCGGATTCTGCTTGTAAGGGAGGGATGGAGAAGAGGGGATAGCACACATAAAGGAGAGTCCAAGCAAAGAGAGCTTTTCAACTTGTCAATGAAAACAGTTCCAGTTCCAATGCTGTTTTATATATGGAGAACCTATAGAAGAGTTGGTTTAGAAAAAAAGAGCTCTACTGTTAAAAAAGGGAAAATAGCAAATAAAACAAATAGCATCACACCCTTTATTCTAATGTGTTCTCCCAAGCTAATCCAATTTCCCCTTTTACTTCTACTTTAGCACATATATTAGCAAATGGCAAGTCTTCCATTCAGCATATAATGGATATCTGTCAGGCGTAAGCACTATACTAGGTACTATGGGGACAATGGTCCAGATTTAAAGTCATCTAAGATCAGCCCAACCAGTGTGGTTCAGTGGTTGAGTGTCGACCCATGCACCAAAAGGTCACTGGTTCAATTCCTGGTCAGGGCACATGCCCGGGTTATTGCCCCTCCAGTAGGAGGTGTGCAGGAGGCAGCTGATCAATGGTATATACCTCTCTCTCCCTCCCTCTCTCTAAAAATCAATAAAAACATATTTTTTAAAGTCATCTAAGATCAAAATCAGAAAAATTTACAGAGCAAATCTAAAAGCAAAACCTACAATTATTGTCTCTTCCAAGATCTCTGAGTTATTTTCATGGAGTTATTGGTGCAGAAATTTATGTATTAGCTACAGGCAAACTCTCATTTTGTTATCTTAATGATTTGCAGAACAGTGAGAAGAGAAGGCAATGACCAAGAGCAAAAGCACTGATGAATCATGATGATATTAATGCATACTTTGCAGACTGATGAAAATTTCTGCAAAGGTCTTATCAGCAACATGGGAACCTTGCCAACCATGATCAAAACCAGTCCCATCCAATTTCCATTTCTAAAATCAATATGATGGGCCCAGCCAGGCATGGCTCAGTGGTTGAGCACCAACCTAAGATCCAGGAGATCACAGTTCAATTCCCAATCAGAGCACATGCCCAGGTTGCAGGCTTGATCCCCAGTTGGGGACGTGCAGGAGGCAGACAATTAATGACTCTCATCATTGATGTTTCTATCTCTCTCCCTCTCCCTCCCTCTCTCTGAAATCAATAAAGATATATTTCTTAAAAAAAGATGGGACAAAGGCTATGATTACCACTTACATTCTTCTAGTCTCCCACTCCTCAATTAAGCAAACAGGAATGATTCAGCCAACGAAGTTCATGACAACAAGGTGCAGGATGGTGCTGGCAAAGAGAAAATCAGCAAAGGCACGCTCTGGGGAGATGCCTTGGAAATCCGCTTTGTTCTGTGGGTTGATCTGTATTCTCAGACAAACTGTACAAGAAGCAAAACACAAAAATTATTATCTAGAAGTATAAAACAAATGACTGCTAATGAACACACACATACCCTATGACCCAACAGTTCCATTCTAACAGAAATGATGCATAAATGCATCAAAGGCATGTACAGAAATGATACCCATGACAACCCCAAACTGCAAACAGTCTAAATGTCTATCAACAGTAAAATGGATAAATTATGGCATATGCACATAACAAAACACTACTTAGCAATGAAGGAGGAAGGGGGAACTGGAGGAAGGTGGTAAAAAGGTACAAACTTCCAGTTATAAACTAAATAAGTACTAGGGATGTAATTATGATTATAGCTAACACTGCTACATGATATATAGGAAAGTTGTTAAGCAAGTAAATCCTATAAGTTCTAATCACAAGGAGAAATTTTTTCCTTTCTTTCTTTCTTTCTATTGTATCTATGAGAGAAGATAAATGTTAATTGAACCTATTGTGGTAATCCTTTCACAGTGTATGTAAATAAAACCATCATGCTGTATGCCTTAAACTTATACAGTGATGTATGTCACAAAACTGGGAAGGGGAGGGAAGAATCAGCAAACGAAACAAAACAAAAAAACCATGACATGAATAAATTCCACAAATATAATGTTGAGCAACACCATCCAGGCATAAAAAATACATGCTGTATGATTCCATTTATATAAAGCTTAAAATGAGGCAAAACCAACCTATGGCAATATAAGCCAGGATACTGTCTTTCATCTTTCATGGGAGGGGCAACTGGAAAGGTAGAAGGTAGAGGCCTCTAGAGTGCTAGTAATGTTCTATAGCTTGATCTGGGTGGTGGTTAAATATGTGAATTTACAAACTTATCAAGTGTACACTTAAGTTTTATGCTCTTACCTGTTAAAGGAAAAAATATAACCTCTCAAAGTTAGGCTAAAAACTAAAGGCTTACTCAGAAAATATATATACATATAAAACCAAAAAATCTTTAGAACTTTCTTATCTTCTAATTAAGTTATACATAGATTGGAAAGAGGCAGTAAAAAAGGGGCTGGGTTGAATGACAAAAAGTTATAAAACTGTATTGTATAGCAGAGATTATAAATATAAGATGCTTATCTGTGAGGAACTCATAATTGTAGAAAATCTTTGATCTCAAAGTTCGAGCAGCTGCTCATCTCAAAAAAGGCAAAAGACCTAACTAAGCTCATTAACTTGACAGAGAACTCTCCACTGCCACATTCTACACCCTTGAAGATTCCAGCCTGATACATTTTTAGCCACAGTCACCATTTGACATGAAAAGGGAGCTCCAGGAACATACTTTCCCAAAATACCTTTATGCCTATGATAAATGATTACACTGCTTAAGAAAACCAAAATTTGCTTCAGGCTAGCATCCATCCCCTTACTAACCAAGGAAAGGAAATGAACAGAGATCTAACCCAAAAGGTCAGAAAACTACCAGACTACTTCTCCACAATCCATCACCATGGTAACAGAGTTTTCATTATGCTTAAACATGTAAACAGTGTGGAAGCACCACTGATCTTTTCAAGCACCTGGACCCTTCAAAATATGCAGGACAATGACAGATGACAGAAGCAAGGACAACCAATTAAAATGCTGCTATGGATGGAGTACAGATTGTTTCATGCATTTCAGAGAACAACTGGCAATATCTATTAATATGTAAAATATTTTTACCTTTTGACTAAGGAATTTCTCTTATAGAACAATGACATTCTAACAGCATGTTAGTAAAGTTGAAAAAAAATGAAAAAGTTAAAATGTCCTTAAGAGGATTATTTAAATAAATTACACTATATACATGCAGTGAAATCCCATGCAACCATTCAAAAGAATGATTTAAATCTCTATAGGTTGGCAGTAAAGATACCTAAGACATATTACATGAAAAAAAGCCAAAAAAGTATTCCATTCCCCATTTCTTTAAATATATATATGTGTGTATATGGGGGAGGGAGGGAGAGAAAGAATTATTTTCTCATTTGTTTTAGTTGGACTCTAGGAGAAACTATTAATAGTGGCTACTGGGGTGGAGGACAAGGGTAGTGTTTCGGGAAAAATGAGGGGGCGAAAGAAGAGAAGCTCCCCATGAAGGTGGGGAAGAAAACAAATCGATGTGTTACCATTATCATGATCACAGTAACCCAAATTATTACAATGACAACATAAGCATGTTGTCCTGCTGAAATGCAAAGAACCCTGGAGGTCATAAAGACCAACACTCCATTTAGTGCATAAAATGCCCAAGAGGCTGTAGGGGTGGGCATGCTGGGGGGAGGCTACATGAATCACCTAGGAATTTTTCCAAAGTATACTCACCATTCCAGAATCTGATAAGCCATCCCAGTTGAATAATCACAAACCTTCCAGAGTCTCCTGATAGGAATGTCATATCCCTCAGATGAATTGGGGTAAACAAAAGGCAAAGAACACCTGTTCAAAATGCTCCTCCACAAGTGATCCTTCAGTCTCTCCCTGAGCACTTCGAGAGTTGGAAATTTACAACCTCCCGAGGCAGACTGCTCCATTTAAACAGTTCTAATTTAATCTATCCCCTTATATGTTTATCCCTTCAGCAAAATACTAACTGAGCATCTATTATATGTCATGCGATGTCCCAGGTGCTGGAAATGTGGCACAGAACAAGACAGACAAGCATCTGGCTCCCAAGGAACTTACACTCCAATGGAGAGAAACATATAATACATAAGTAAACAAACAAGAAAATGTCACATAGAGATATGTGCTATGAAGAAAATAAAACAAGATAACAAGAGAGTGACTGGGAAGCTATTTTTTATTTAGTGGTCACAAACCTCCTAAGACGATGCTATTTAAGACCAAAGTTTTAAAGGCAGGATCTAGGGGCAGAACATTCCATGCAGCAGAATAATCTTGACATGTTCTTGGTATAACAGGCCATACTGAGGGAGGTGGCTGGGCAGGAAGGTTCAACCTGGAGTTGCATATCAGACATCTAGTGAAGATGTCAAGCAGGCAGCTGGATTTACTAATTTGGAATTCAGGGAACAGGTCAGAACTAAAAATATAAATGTGGTAGCTATACAGATATTATTTAAATTCACCTATAAAACAAAATACAGAGAAGGTATCAAGAACCATGCCCTCCAACAGATAAGAACCTAGTAAAAACAGTAGGAAGGAAAAACCAATGAGGTGAGAAAGAACAAAGTAAGTGTAGTTTAGTAAAATTTTCAAGAAGAAAGTACTCCACACAGAAGAAAGCAGCCAACTACGTTAAATGCTACTGAGTATTCAGGTAAGTTGAGGTAGATGGCCATTAGATCTGGCAAGAGTAGTTTCACTTAGTGGTGAAGAAAGACCACCACCAAGAGTGGGGTAAGGAATAAATGGAAAATGAGAAAGCATAAACAGCAACTAGACTACTCTTTCTAGGAATTCTGTGATGATGGAGAAGAAAAAAAAAAGAAATGATAGCAGCAGGATACGGTATCTGGGATCAAATAAAGACAATTGTAATTGAATACTATTAGAGCATGTTTGTATGATGAAAGGATAAAGTAGAGAAGAGAAATTAATAATGCAGAATAGAAAGATGATTACAGAAGCTGACTCCCTGAGTGAGCAAGAGGACTGAATTCTCTGCACAAGTGAAGGAGTTGGCCTTTGATAGAAAAGGGACACATCATCCACCATTATAGGAAGCAAGCAAAAGAGCAAGGATCCGAGTGCAGGTGAACTCCTGATTCCTTGGTGGAAAGATGAAAGGATTCCTATCTACTTTTTTAGTGAAAAAAATAAAGCAAGATCATCAACTGAAAATATAGGAATAGAGGAAATGAAAGAGAGTGGAAAGAAAAGTTATAAAGCATATTTTAGAAAAGCAAACATATCAGGGGAGTATTATAAAACCACTGGGCAGGGCTGAATGCCCATTTGTATTCCTGTTCTCACCAATACTTCTCCATCACAGCACTATATCCATATTTACTTGTACCTCCCACCATATTATAAACATTGTGAGAATAGAATAGAGATCAGCTGTTTCACAGTTGAACCCTCAGTACCTTGGAAGAGAACCTGGCACATAATTGCTCAGTATTCCTTAAATTCTTATGGGCATGCTCACAATTTACCATATACAGTGTTAAGCACTGAGGATGCAAATGACAGCCCCTACCCTCAAGGGGCTCACCTTCCAGAGAGAAGACAGACACGCAAACAAATACAGCACAGTATAAAAGTGCCATACACACACACACACACACACATACACACTGAAATGGGAATACAGGAGAGTGGTGGGAGAGTCAGGGAACGGTTCCAAAGCGAAGCAGCTCTTGAGCTGAGATGTCTAAGAAGTGCAGGAATTTTCCAGGCAGTCAAGCAAAGGTAAAATAGCTTGAGATGTTCAGGGAATAACAAGTAACTCAGTAACACTGGAGAATAAAGTACAGGGGGCAGAGGCAAGAGATAAAGCTGGAGATATGAACAGGATCACATCATGAAAGAGCCTACACACCATGGAAAAAATTTATAATTTTTCCTTGGGAACCATAGACAAATTTTAGGTAGGGAGTGGCACAATCAGACTTGCAAGTGAAATAAGCCTGCAAACATAGTGGAAGACGGACTGGAGGGAGAGGTACCGGAGACTGGGAGATCAGTAAGGAAGCTTACAGCAGTCTATTTAAGAGCCTGAGTCAACTGAGGATAAAGAGGTAGCAATAGATATAAAATAGATTTAGAGGACTCTCAGGCACAAGGTTGGCAAACTTCCAATCTCTTGGAGAGCAGTTATGAGAGAGAATACAAGGGCCCATAAAGCTGATGGATAATGCCCTAAAATACGCCCCTCTACCCTGGTCACACAGCCCAACCACTCCCAGAAAACTTTCTGGAATAGGCCTCCTTGCCTTTCAAATCAAACTTCTTTTGAATTTGTAAACTAGGGAAAACAAAACTATTTTTTTAATCCAAAATTGTTTCATATAGATTAGAGAACAGACTAGATCAAAGTTGTGAAATGACTTTAAAAATTATTTCAAGACCTAGCCAGTCTGGCACAGTGGTTACAGCGCCAGCCTTCAGACTGAAGGGTCCCGGGTTCGATTCCGGACAGGGGCACATACCTCGGTTGCAGGCTTGGTCCCAGTCAGGGCGTGTGCAGGAGGTAACCAATTGATGTGTCTCTCTCATATCGATGTTTCTCTCTCTCTCCCCCTTGCACTCTCTCTGAAAAGCAATGGAAAAAATATCCTCGGGTGAGGATTAAAAAACATATATATATATATTATATATATATATATATATAATATATATATATAATACACACACACATATATATACTTCAAGGTCAAAGACTTAAAGGACAGTCTTAATGTTTTCCACTTATCCCTCCTGCATAGCACTTTAAATGAGCAGAAAGAGGAATTTTAGTTAGGTAAAAAAGGAAACTAGAAGGGCTGCCAACAATGGAATGTTAGTCTGGAAAAGGGGCAGATGTCCTCCTCTTAAGGTATCGAACTACAAGACAAAAAGTGAACTGCTGAGGGTGTTTGAAATCTATAGTGAAGAAAAAATATTCTACCTCTGAGGTCCTTTTAAAGCCTACTATACTGCATATTGTTGATCCCCCAAAAAGATTTCTCAACGGCAATTTTCTTGAAAATTTCTGGCTCTTTCTGGAAACAATGGGTAAGTCTCCAAGGCATGAAGGAATAGAAAAAATAGACTATTTTCATCGGGCCGAAATAACACCAGTCTTAAGTGTGGTAGCATTCTATATTGGTTTAAAATGCACTGATCAATTTCCAAAGAACATATGCTAAATAATCAGATGCAGAAGGAATAGAAGAGAACACACTGCCAAAAAGGAATTAAGGAACCAGGCTAAAGAACTTTTCCCTCCAATTCATCCTACATGCTAACAACAATTTTAAGTCTCTCCCTTACACAAATTAAAAAAAAAAAAATCCTTAGATACTTTTCTATTACCTACAGGATGAAATTCAAATTCCTTGGTCTGGGATGCAGTACTACCAATTAACATAATCTCCTACAATTCTCTTTCTTAGCCAAACTGACTTTCTCCCTTCTCTTCCAACAGGAAACACACCACAGGGAAGTTAGAAACACCAGCACCATAAATAGGTACGAGGCTTCCTTTCCCAACAATGAAAATAAAGGATAAACTTCAAATACAAAGGTCTCCTTAAAACTAGTCTCCAGTTGGAAGACCTGGGTTAATAAATGACAGAGCAAGTAGGATTAAGGTCGATACTATCAAAAGAAATATAAATGATACCCTTCTGTGGTAACTATGAATTGTCATGAATTCTTTTTTTCCCTAGAGCTTTCATTTCTCTGGCCCAATGACCTGTTATCCAACAGCTTTGGAAATCCTGGTCCCCCCAAATTGACTCCACTATTGAAGTGCCCTTTCACTAGGCATTCTCTTCAATGACAAGCCACTCCCTTCTCACTGGGGAGAAGGGAATCTGCCAATTCTTTTAACCATAACAGTCTCAAATACAGGACTTGGCATTAAGGAAAAGTTATCTGATCAAAAAATCTGGTTTTGCCCTGGCTTGTGTTGCTCAGTGGTTAGAGCATCAGCCCACTCATCGAAGGGTTGCAGGTTCGATTCAAGGGTACTCAAAGGGCATGTACCTGGGTTACAGGTTCAATCCTGGCCCTGGTTAGGGCACATGAGGAAGGCAACCAATAGATGTTTCTCCCCCCTCCCCCTGCCCCTTTACTCCCTCCCTTTTACTCTCTCTCTAAAAAGCAATAGAAAAAATACCCTTGGGCGAGGATTAAATAAATAAATTTAAAAAAATAAAAAACACAGACAACCATATTTTTTTTTAATCTTCTGGTTTTAGCACACTAATAATCTACAACTCTAATGCACACCCACTCTTCAGCAAACCACAGGCTTCCATGGTTTGCTGAGGGGTCATTTTAACCCTAGAAGCTTATGAAACCAGTGTGATTTCAGCATGGAGAGGTCTTATTTTTTTAAATCCGCTTTTAGGCCCTACCATATTCCTACCCTTTTCAGAAATGAAGAACAAAATCATCAAACAAAATTCACCAGAGCTTCTCAAGATTCCTTCTTCTGTCTGGCTAGTAAAAATTCTTAGTCATGAACAGTATTTGGGGGAAGGGAAGGGAGAGTCTTAAGCAAAGAGGGTAAGGTACTTGGTGCACCACATCAACTCCTGAAGGCCAAAACACTGCCACAGAGAACAGGGTCTTGGTCATCTAAGGCAAAATTCAAAGATAATGAAATGCCCACCTGATCAACAAGCTAACTTGCCTGGCCAGGTGTGGCTCAGCGGTTGCACGTCGACCTGGGATCCAGGCAATTGGGGTTCGATTCCCGGTCAGGGCACATGCCTGGGTTGCAGGCTCGATCAATGACTCTCTCATCATTGATATTTCTATCTCTCTCCCTGTCCTTTCCTCTCTCTGATATCAATAAAGATATATTTAAAAAAAAAAAAAACCCAGGCTAACTCTGCAACTCCAGACCAGGCTAGTGCGTAAGTCATTAGGCTTATTTTAAGTTCTGAAAAAGAAAGGAGGTAGAGTTCATCTGAGTCTGAACTAGCAATCTGAATACGTAAAAAGCTTTCTACAGATCCATACTTAAAGCTGTAATGAAGTCTCTTCTCTACTGTAAAATGAAGTCTCCAGACCATTTTAATGCTCTATTTTGTCTGTGCCCCAACTAGATTGTAAACTAGTTGAGGACAGGGGACATATACTTGACATATCCCCAAAGCCTTTACCATAATACCAATGTGATTAGATTCAAAATAAGATGGCCTGACAATGACGCTGCT